AGTTAGTAGAATATTTGGAAAAAGTATGCTGTCACCCTGGCAACTCCAGAGAGATGCAGATCATTGCAACGTGCTGGGGCCTGGCCCATGCCTACCGAGCCCTGTTCAACACCATTCAGTACCCTCAAGGGGAAGAGAAGGTCTCTGGATCTGACGGTAAAACGACACGCACTGCGGCCACTCCGACTCTGGCAACAGGCCCTGCGGCCACTCAGGTAACGTATTTGAAAAGAGCAGAACAAGAACTTTCAAATTATTTCATATTCTAAAGGTTTTAGAGCTAGTTGAATTAATAGAAAATAATCCAAAGAACAATGGTTACAAAACTGAGTGTACTTTTGATGTGGAGTCTATGCTACTAGTACCCAGGCACCAAATGTAGCAATGCTGGAAATCTGTATTACAAACCAATCCTTCTCGTACACCAAATCCAAAGTTCCAGTTGCTCTTATATATAGCTGGAATAAAATGTTCTTTTTGTGAATGCTTGTGAGGGCAACTCAAATTACAAAAGTTTTAATAAGCCATTTAAATTGGTTGCAAACTATTCACACAATTCTTTTTATTTATATCCATGTACACATCCGAGCTAGCAGTCACCTTTGATTCTTTTTGTGGTTTTCTCTCCACATTCCTTCTATAAGCAGTTGAAAGTACTGACTGCTCACCTCGCAATGTATTGAAACCAGAAAATGTTATTTCATTCTGGCTTCCACAAACCTTATGCTGGCAAATATTTACAACTGGGCAAAGAGAAATTAAGACAGAACTGTTGCTTTAAATATCTGAATGTTTTTCATCCAGTTTCAAAAGGTGAAATGTTTTCACAGAACAGTGTCATCTTCTGATGGTTGTAATATTAACAGTTTCAGGAAAATACCAACATTTACCTTTCTCAAAAAGCAAAAACATATTTTAGCTACTGGCTTTGGCTTTCACATGCCACCAAGCAGCAGAAATTCTGGTGATGGAAGGAGGAATGCATTGACTCCACTATCAAGGTCGTTATAACTGCTGAAAACAATGTCCTGCTAAAAAAAAATACTTGTGATATCCATCGCACAAAAATATCCGCTTTGGCAGAGCATGGCTGTAGGGCAGAAAGCTCTGGGAAAAGGACACTTCAGTCCTTGCCCTCTACCAGCTGCCACAGCCAAGATTTGCTCATGCACCTCCAATAATGGCCCTTGGAAGACTTCCACTGCCACACAAATACAACACCCCCTGCAACCCAATAACCAGAGGCTGAGCCAAGGATCTCTCATCGCTGCTGTCCTTCCTCATCCAGCCCCTTCTCTCCCACTGCGATGCAAGTTTATTTATCATTCATTACTTATTTTTCACTTTGTATTTTGATTCTGCTGCCTGTGCACATATATATGCCTGTGCCCCTCTGGCTGTTTGGAAAAAAAAACAAAATAAAACACACCACTCAAACTGTCTCTTTGAAAAAAGGCCTTAAAATCTGAGAGTTAAGCTACTGAGTTGATTTACATGAGTCAAACTAAACCAATAGCTGCAAAATTAGGGGGTTGGAATAAAAATGGGTGTATTTTACTTTGGCAAAGTAATCTGTAGTTAGTATTGACCTTTGCTGTTCCATTATATGGTTAAACCACAAAGAAAAACCACAGCAATACCATGTAAATATAGAATGTCCCCATGAAATGAGCAATTGAAAGGTTCTAGGCAGTAATTAACTGAAGGAGGAAAACCTCAAACTTTTCATTTTAGAACAGGCAACGGAAAAGTTCAGCTGTCTGACTTCTTTAATGTTAGGCTCTTTCTAGTACCATAGTTCAGGATACAATTTTAAAGAGCACTGGAGTCGGCAAAATTTTTACTACATTTTTCAGTGGGGAAAGTTTTAGAGGAAAAAAAATAAATCACACCCGTGAAGTTCTCAGACAAGAGCTTTAAAATTCCACTTACGTCTCTATAAGCCATGAATTTATTATAAAACAATAGTTCAACATTTAATGAACAGACTGCACAACTCATTCCTAGTCAGAACATAGCCTACTTGCTAAAATAATAAAAAAGGTAAAATCAGGAATTTCTAATGCCAACAGTAGAAGTGAGAAACATTCATGATGCAAAGAGCTTGTTTCACAATACATAAGTCGCAGCCCTCGAGGACAGTGTTTATTTTTATCATAATCAGTTACACTTGGCTGCATTGTGTATTTTTTGTTTTTTGCCTAGCTAACAAACATCTGTTCCAACACCAACACAAAAATTACACCTTTTCACTATCTACATGTCTAGGCGTCATGATTTAAAATATTTCAAATCATGCAGTTACATGGAAGTTATCTAGGAAGCCTGAAATTCAAATGTACAAGCATGCCTTCTCATTATATACAGAGCTTACCTTTCCACTCCCCCACCACACTTACTATCTGTGAGGCAGTGTTTCCCACCCCAACCTTCCCCTTTACTAATACTTCCTTTCTGAAGTGTAAGAGAAACAGGTATGCTTGAGAGGTAAGAACAGGAAATCTTACAAAAAAGCACATTTCTCATTAAATTGAAATACCTGGAGAGAAGCCTATGCACCTGAAACTTCTGGGTTTCTTCCTTTTCAATGTATCAGTAATTTAATAAAACATTATTTCTCAGATGATTTAGTAAAAGGTTATTTCTCCATGAGAGGCTTGCTTCATTTTTTCATTATAAATACTGTATTGCCTTCTTGTTACAGACAGGCCATTAGAAGTTCGCAGAAACAATCTACCTCCTTAAAATGTTCTCTTCTTCTTCATATAAGACTAGGATTTGCTGCTAAGACCAAAGGCTCGCCTACCCCACATTCTATCTCTCATAGCAACTCTTAGCAGATGCCTATAGAAGAGTTTAAGAGTGGTGCAGCCATACGCTGACAGTTTCAAGATAAACTCTACCAAGTTCCAGCGATGCACAGATCAATATCTTTTCTAAGACAGCAGTAGCATCAGCCTACAGCAGTCCCCGATGGCCCCATCCCTCCTATCGTAATTTTATCTAGTTATTTTTTGAGTATGTAAACTTTTAACATCCACGATACCTTAAGGCAATGTATTTTACAGTTTAACAATACACCATGAGGAGAAATAGCTCCCCTTATTTCTTTGAAACATGCTGATTTGATTTGATTTCCTCATACTGGGTAAGGTAGCAGTCACTTTCCTAATGTCACTTAGGATTTTCTGGAAGACTAGCTTGTCCCCACCCAAGTCATCGCTCCTTTGGGCTGACAGTCCCAGTCTGTTTAGTCATTTGGAAACTACTTTATTTCTTCGGTCATTTCTGTTGCCTTTTTCTGCACCTTCTCTACAAAAGATTGCAAACATAAGCAGGCTTTTCAGGATGAGTGCTGCAGTATTAACAGTGGCTTATGCTTCATCTCTAGATAGTGGAAGCATTAGCACAACCACACAGAGACATCCGTGGCACTTAACCACGAATGCTTGTGCTACACCAGGCGTTGGGTGCTAACAGACACTGTGCAACCCCTTAGTAAACCTGCACCTGCTTGATTTTGAAGTTACAAAATTAAGAGTTCTAGATGCACTCAAGGTCTTTTGTTGTGTTTAAAAGCCAGGAGGTATTTGTCAGAAAGCATTTACACACTCCTAACAAAAACTATGAAGATACACTGCAAGCTGCATGAGTGCAAGAATTGAGTCCATACATTTATTTTGCAATGCTTTTAACAGAGACTGGAGGCTGAACCTGTCTCAAGAAAATGCATCCAGAGCTAGAAGTGTGAAACATTTCTGAAAGCACAACAGATTATCGTTGTGCTTTTTGGTGTTGTTATAGCTGTGCCACAAGAAATGTTAAAGTGCTTCCCATCACGACCTTTCATAAAGTCCAACTTTCTATTCATTATCCTAAGCCTAAACTTGGAAGACTGTCCTGACATTGCCATATACTGCACTAGCACAATGCACTGAGTGGACATACAATTTACACAGGCAAGCCTGCACTTTTCTTTGCAAGCTTATTCCAACACACAAGAAGCAAATGATATCTGTAAGAGTTTGTCAATATACCTGCATCTACACTAGTGGCTTTTGCCAGCACAGCACTCTATAAAATAATAAACAAATCCTGTTTTATCACAACCAACATATGCTGTAAATAGCAGAGAGTCATAAGGTATCCCTCAACTTAGAAGTTTCAGCATGATTAATAACCTAAAGTACGAAGCCGTTATACTTCGATTCGGTTGAATACATCAAGTTGAAACATAATTGGTACTCACTCACAGTCCAGCAACTCAAGGGTGTCTGTTGGAGTAACTCACCAGCTGCATCATGATTTCCAGCACTGACCCAATCAGCTGTTGTGTTAATGTAATACTTGTGGGCCAAGTACTAAGATCATCATGAACATCTGCACATGTGAGCCTTTATTACTGTAAGGTGTCAAGTCAGTTGTGTTATGCACAATACTAAACCATGGCCAAGACAAACCTTGCCCAAAGATCATTTACTCAAATAACAGGACAAGATGTGGGAGAGCCAAGTACTATCATGCCCATTTTCCACAGTACTGTCTTCAAATTCTTATTTTTTTTCTAAAGAGTCTGAAATATGCTAGCTTTTGGAGCTAGGTCCCTCAAGAGGAGATTTTAAGGTCAAAAGCAGTATTTGCAGGATTGATATTGATAAAAATCTACTGTAAATACGTCTGTTAAATTAAATGGGCTCATCCTCATGGCAGAAGCTCCAGGAAAGGAAAGGCTTTCCCTATCCTACTACAAAACAGTATTGTCTGAGTACGACCACGTGATACTGGCTACTAGTTTCTGGTAAAGTTGAATTCAAGACTGATCGGGGGGCCCCAAAACAAACAGTTGCAACAGTTTAAAAATGTTACCTCCCCTTACAGTCCCACCCTAGGCTCAAAAGATACCCCTGCAAGAATGGCCAAAAGATACATATGCCTAACCTTCAGCCACACCACATCAGTTAGGAGGATTAGATTAACCAACGAGCAAGAAGAGACAGCACTAAAATAGGATAGTCTGAACTGTTCTGTACACACATGACAAAGTGTACTTGCAATAGTCTTGGCACAGGATAACAAGATTTTACAAAGGCGTAAAGAGTCTTCACGAACAAGAGGATCGTTCAAACTATCTGCAGATAATATTGTTGGAATTTCTTTTGCATTCCTACAGATTCATGTTGTCAGAACTTGCTCTTTCAGCCCAGTTTCTCCCTGATCCTGTAGTGATGTTTAACCTAAGCATTACCATGGGAAAAGCGAGGTCATGAATTCAGCACTACATTTGCACTAAATGTTAGAGACCAAAGGAAATGTGAACCTACGGGGAAAAAAAACTTGAGTTTGAACAGAAAGAGCCTGGGTAAGTATTCTATTCTTAAAATAGATGTAGGGAGTATATCTGTATTACATCAGACACTGGAGCCTGTTTTATAAAAGGAGCTCTTTATAAATCTGCAACTCCTCTCCAATCCTACTATAACTTAAAAATAAGAAGTTGTCTGCACTGAATGATGCCTTTAGGAATAAGAGTTTTACTGGGCCTGCTCTGAGAAACAAGGAGAGCCAGCTAATTTTCTGTCTCCCTTCCCTTAAACATATCCTCATACGCTTGACACTGCTGGATGCCAGCAGTCACTCTTAGTGCACCTCCTGATCCAGTATACGCCAGTCTCCAGAAGACTGACTTCTGATTTCTCCAGAGCCACTTTTCACATGATGCATCACCTCGGAAGGAACCCCAGCACAGGACAAGTTCCTCATACAAGATCCTTGAGGACCTTTTGTACAGAGCCATCAAACCCTGTCTATCCTGCTATCCTCTTAATGTCTTTAGCCAAAATCAATGCAGGCTTCTGACACCGATTTTTATTTCCCAGATCTTCCTGAAGATCTGGTCTGCCAATTTGCATGGGCACGCTGTTTCTCACTAGGCCTCCTGCCCTGTCAGAGAACACCATCTTCCTCAAAAGGCCCTTCCTGTCCATCCTAAAACAGCTATTTTAAGCACTGTTCAAGATTTAAGTTTTCTGAACCACAGCAGATATGCTAAGCAACTACAGATGTCTTTATCCATGCAAGAAGAGTAAGTTCTTGACACTGTTTTGTTTTTTTTCTTGTTTTCTCAACAGTAGATTATTTTACTAGATAGAGAATCTTCCTCTACCAATTTAAGCGTCTCATTTCTGGTAAAATTATGTGAGAGGTTAATATATTACAATACTGAACACTGCACAAAAATAGTAACACTAGGGCTGTATTGCTGCAGTTAATAGTAGACTTAGATTTACAACACAGCTCACATAGTTCCTCAGCTTGACTCAGTAAAGGCAGACCTCACCTTATGCACCCTCAACCATCCAAAAGGCTAGTGTCCAGCCTAAGTCAGGCGTGCATTTCTAAACCTCCCTCAGAGGGA